TTTTTCCCAAGCTGTCAAACTATTTCTGTACAGGAGCTTTATACAATGCTCAGAGTCTATCTATGATTCAAAGGTTGTCTGTGCATGGCTCTCAACGTGGAGCTGCCTGAAACAGCTTCTAGCTAGAGGTACTAACACCTCAAATGATGCTCACACCGGCACCAGTGCTATCAGGGCTAACCTTGCACAAGTGCAGTGCAGTATGATACTGATTCGCTAATCAGCGGGAGACACCCACATGCTGTTGGACCGTCTACCACAACAAAGAACAGAACAACTTGGATTGTAAAACACACAGAGGTCAAGACTTCTCTGCTTAGGATGCCATTACTCCAGTATTTTTTTTACAAAGCAAATATCGTTTGCTGCTATATCAATGCTAATGAATGAGCTAAAGTAAGTAAAATAAGTGGTATGGTTCTTCACAACCTGCTTTGTCCTTTGTCTGAGTGATCCAGATTGCCTTTTTGAGGTTTAATTTCACATCAACACAAATTGTGTGTATTGAAAACATTTCCTTAAACTAACTACAAACAGAAAAAATGTTGACATGCTAATGTTGGTGCAATAAAGTCACTTTATTTGATATTACAAATAGGTGGATAGGATTTTCTTTACACAGATGTTTGAGCTACTTCAGTCAGCAAAACTTATTTAACTTTGGGCTTAGTTTTGCTGCAGTTTAACAAGATGCACTTAACCACTTTATTACCACACAACCTCTAAAGAAACAAATGCTCTGCTTAATTACAGCTGTAACAGCAATCAAATACAGACAGAAGCTTGAGTCTGCAGTTCAGGACATACAGCATTGCATATACTTTTTCTGTTTTTCCATTTCAAACAAATGAAACTTCCGTCAAATTTTTCTCTCCGCTTCCCAGGTGTCACCCGGGATCGTCAGTTTAATGAAATGCTGCAGCAACAGCCTGACTCATATATGCATTTCCTAAGGAGTGACTGTGACTCATAAAGCAACTGCTGCAGGAGCACACACACACATTCACAAACACACACCAGGGTGCATATGGCCTATGGATAGGAGCTGGAGCACTTATAGTATATAGCTGAGCTGATTTGTAAGCCAGCTGATAACAACAATTTTCTCAGCTTTGACAGCGAGGAATAAATGAATGGATAAATAAACAAATCTAAAGAAAAGTGACTTCTTTGAAAGAGAAATCAAAGCTGATCGTTTGAACGTGACGAGAGGCAAAACATTCATTTTTGATGACGACTTGAGATTAAACGAAATATCCTGAACTCTACAACCTATAGCGCGGTACACATGAAAGGCTGATCAAACTCAGCAAACACAGTGCGCAGGACACAAAATGGAGAACAGGCAGAGGAGATAAAACATTAAAAAAAAAAGGTGAGGAGGAAATGAGGGGAGGTGGGGAGAAACTGGAGGAAGAGGAGCAAGAGAGATGGAAAGAAAATTACTTTTGACATGAGCGGGATATGAGAGCAAAAGGAGGGATGAATTATCGGATGTGCATCTTTGTATGTGTATGAAAAACGTGCTTAAGAGCGTGTGTGTGTGTGTGTGTGTGGTGTAGGTGGGGGGTGTGAATGTAAATATACATGCATGTCCTGGCAGACTGCTGAGAGCTGCTCCCAAGCTCACTCATAGATAAAGACAAAAAAAAAAGCCGTCTTTGAAAAGAGAGGAACTCTGGTCAGATTCAGAATCTAAAGAAGATCTGTGTTCCCTACAAACTCACGAGCAATCCTACTGTTTCTCCATCTCTCATCCTTTCTGTATTTTTATCTCTTCTCTCACCACCCCTTTCCTCCCTTTTTTCAAACTCATTTTCTTTCCCCTCACTTATTTTCAAAGCGCTTACAGAGAGAGAGTGGAACGCTTTCCCCCCCATCCCGCTGGAGCATCAATATACAACAGAGCCCAGAGGTCCAAACAGGAGAAAGGCTGAGGAGAGCAGCGCAACACAAATCCATAATGGATTTTCTTCTCTTTCATTCGCTTTCTGCAGGGAGATGCAGTGAAGGCACCACTGGCACAGAATGAGAGACACGGCGAGGGGAGGGGGCAGAGAAGAGGTGAGGGAGAGAGGGAGAGGCGGAGAGGAATCGACGGGGAGCGGCTCAAAACAGTGTCAATAACAAAAGCCCTTAAGAATATTTCTCTCATCTGTCTCTGGAGGGCTCGCATAACATATGCTTTAAAGTATTTGCGAGGCCAAGCTCATTCCAGAAGGTGACAGGAATTAAAAGCAGCTTTGGTGTAGCTTCAACTGATCAGATGAAGTTGCTAATTAAGTTAGCCTGTAAGCGAGGGACTGCCAAGAGGTCTGACAGATACGAGGCTGCGAGCAATAATATCCCGAAACACACAAAGGCATCAGTGAAAAGCAGCTCTGAGGCCGTATCTTATATCTGCAGCTATTACAAACAGAAGTCTGGCTCTGTAGATGGCAATTCGGCCTAACAATATTTATTTGTAAGATCCTGAATGGGGTTGAAAATGTGTAAACTTTAGTGAGCATGAAACTGAGCGAGGAGCGAATATTTCGGCTGTGCGATGTTAGCACAGGGCAGCCCTCTCTGAGGCTGGTAAATTGACGGTTGGACGGGGAGGATGAGACTGTTGATTCAGAAATTGTTTGTTTGAGTTTTCACACCCAAGTGAGCTTCATTTTATTTTGCTAGTAGCTCCGGAGCACAGAATGTACCCAGAATCACAGTGAATAACCTTGGATGCTGTCACAGCGTCCACAGAGTCAGTCTTGTGTTAGTCACCAAAGGATCCACTGCTTCTGAATGCATCACTGACGACAGTCTTGATTATAGTTTTGCCAGTTTTCCAGGTTCCACTCCGCTGCCTTCATCAACACCAAGTCTGAGTAACTCCACAAAGGACATTTTTATTTTGATACAGCTTGGGTCTTAATGTAATGGTTTTGGCAATCTGCTTTATTGGTAACAATAACGTTGTACTCACTACAGTAATTGATGAGAACAATAACATCGCTACAACAAAATGTGATGGTGCCAGAGGCAAGTAGTCAGGCGAACAGGCTGGTCGTAAACAGCAGTTTAGGAGTCAGATTAGCTTTCACTTTAAACGGAAATAAAACCAAAACAGAGTGAACCTGAGATGTCAATAATTCGCACAAACTGTATTCACAGACAACTACGGTAAATATAGCTCAAAGTTGAAGCGGTGAGTTTGTTTAGTGTGATGAATGTTTACAACAGACACTCAGAAAAATAATGTTTTCTCCTCCACAAAAGTTTGACTAACCCGAGGGCTTTGTTTTTAAACCTGTCTGATTGTCTGATCTCAGCCGTTTACCCCAAAACTGTTCCGCCTATGGGATACCAGCACTATGTACTGTAGAACTTTCATGGACTGCGAGTACTACAGAAAGTTGTAGGAACATGTAGACAGGATGTGTTTCAAAAGATGAGACTCTCTTCTTTTTGATCTTTGGGATCATTATGAAAAAGAAGGTCCTCTGAGATTAAATAATTCAGCAGCAGGGTATTGAACTAAAACCTTAAAAATGTGGCATTTCTCTAGCTTTGAAACAGAATACTTAATTGCCAGGGGCAAATCGTCGGCAGAGGCAAACCAGACAAATGTTTGGGGCCCCCCTTTTGGAAAAGGGACTCATGATGATTTTGCAAGACAAGTAAACCCCCTTAAACCTACCTACAGTGCACCGCCACTGCCCCAAAGTAGCCTAAGTGGGGCCTCTTCTAGCTACCATATGACAGCTAGATGAGATTAATTAGGACAGTCAGCGAGCTACCTGTTACTGTCATACATACGTAACCGTTAGCACACACGAGCATACCTTTCTGATCACCAGAAACAAAAGAAAAAATATTATTATTATTAAATTATTAGTAGTATTACTATTATACTCTTCATCAGATACAAATATGAACCCTCATACACATACACACATGCCCTATATAACCAGCCTTTGTAGTAACACCTTGTTTGCTAATTTACAACAGCAAGAATATGGTTATATCTAATTTCTATATTATTTATCTATTTATTTATTCATTTATTTTTGTCTGTATTCCATATTCTGTCTACTCCAATGTGTGTACAGTATGTCACAACCTTGACTTTGTGCACAACCCTTTGCGCCAATAAAATAAAAATCCTTTAACTGCCATTTGAGCACATTAGAAATATTGGTAACACTTTACTTGAAGGCATCTATATGACACTGTCATGAACTTGTCATAAACATTATATACATGTCATAAACGTTTATGACTGCTGTCATTAAGTGTCATTCGTTTTTTGTAATGACAAGTTGACATTGTTTGGGTTGTCTTGACATTAATTAAAGTGACATTACCAGAAGTTGTCTTTATCATGACAAGATGACATCACATTTGTTTGGGATGTACTTATAATGACAACTTGACATTAACCAGGATGACATTACCAGAAGATGTCTTTATGTTAATGTCAACTTGTCATTATAAGGACATCCCAAACAAATTTAATGTCAACTTGTCATGACAAAGACAACTTCTGGTAATGTCATCCTGGTTAATGTCAAGTTGTCATTATAAGGACATCCCAAACAAATTTAATGTCAACTTGTCATGACAAAGACAACTTCTGGTAATGTCACATTAATTAATGTCAAGTTGTCATAATCAAGACAACCCAAACAATGTCAACTTGTCATTACAAAAAACAAATGACACTAAATGACAGCAGTCATAAACGTTTATGACATGTACATAATGTTCATGACAGGTTCATGTCATAGTTATGACAGTGTCATGTCACCCTTATGTAGATACCTTCAAGTAAAGTGTTACCGAAATATCCTTCATATGTCAAATTGTTGACTACATATTTTAAGAAAAATTTCATTACATATACATACATATGTCAGCAATCTGATTTAAAAAAAGAAACCTTGATATACTACAAAAAAAAATCAACATACACATGCGCAAAAAAAAAAAAAAAAAAAAAAAAAGAAGGCAGTCTTTACCTCGTCCGCAGGTTCCCCGGGCTGGGTGGCCCGTCATATACAGACAAGATGTCAAAGTCCTCCTCGAGGGCGAAGCCTTGAAACACCAGCTGTATCCGGTTGTGCTCCGCCGCCACGATCACCCATGTACAGTTGGCATAGTTAGGATAACCGTAAGGGTAGCCTGGGCTCTCTATCGTCCCATTGGGACTGTGTAGTGTGTAACTGCAGTTCTGAGCTGTGAAGACAGAAAGAAAATGGCCAGTTATTATAAGCGTGTAAGGCGTGTTAGAACTGCTAGCTGAGTGCAGAAAGTATTAATAGAGTATTAAACCAAATAAAAGACAGTTCTCCACATGCAAGAATGGAAATTATGCAAATCGCACACACATACATGCACTCATATGCACACCCACAGTTAAACAGTTTGCACCAAATACTGCCACATCCATTATCACCTTCAGCGTGCAGCCTGAGCCATTAGTATAGCAGTGCTAAATGGCTCACCCTCTCCTAGCTTTCCCCACCTCCATCACTGCACACTTGTTCGCTCACTGGCCCTTTCACCGCATTAGTAATAGGTTCCCGTTTTAATACACGACATAGCTGAAGAGGAGGAGATGAGAGGAAACACACACAAAGAGATGCACACTCGCATTTTTGTCCACAGCCACTCAAACAGCCTTCAAACTTAAATTTTAATAGCGCCTGTTGCCATCTATCAGTGCTGAGCTTGGGGTTGATGTGTGTAGTGTGGACTAGGAGTGTGTGTTTTGTATCCTCGGGCCAAGTGACTTGTGTTGGACTGATGACTTTTAATCAGTGATGGGGTTCAGTTGTAATTAATCAGTAACATGGACTGATGTGTGATTGCGCTTATATTTTGTGTCGTGTTGTCGGTGTGTGATGTGTAAATCAAGACAGCTGAATGTGAGCAGTTGGCTGTCAGCAATTGCAAATCGCAAAAGTCTTATCAGTTGCGCCCCCAAGGTAAATGGTAATGGTATGGCACCTTTCTAGTCTTCTGACCACTCAAAGCGCTTTTTACACTACAAGTCACATTCACTCATTCATACACACATTCATACACTGGTGGCCAAGGCAACCGTACAAGGTGCCACCTGCTACTCAGTTTTTAACACAGTCACACACCGGTGGAACAGCCGAGAGCAATTTGGGTTTCAGCATCTTGCTCAAGGATACTTCAACATGCAGACTGGATGAGCAGGGGATTGAACCACTGATTTTCTGATTAGTGGACTACGCGCTCTACCTCTGTGAGGGGTAGGCAGGGGGCCATGACCACCCTGATGCAATTGCCCTAGCAAAAATAATTGGATTTTTAAGACGTTGTGGCGCACTCAATTTTTAAGCTAGCATGAAGGTATCTTGTGAAACCAGACAACCTAGGACAGGGGTATTCAAGTAAAATTCAAAGAGGTCCAGTTAGGGCAAATTTCCTAATGCAAAAGTCCAGAACATCACAATGTCTAACTTGTGATATGATTTAGTGTGATATATACTGAAGTAGTAGTTGTATCAACGTCTGCAAGTAATCAACATCTGACTGACAAATCAAATAAAGAAAGTATGATTCAAAAACATTTTGACAATATTAATTGTCACTTAACATTGAACTATACAGATATGCATTTAAAAAAAAATGGAGAAAATAAATAAAATAGTGTTAGAAAAATTGTGCATCTTAAAATGAAGTGCTTAATTTTAGAAAAAATAGAATAAACTGCAGCAACAGCTTGAATTTTCCTTTTTCTTTGTCAACTATTTCACATCTTAACAGTCTCAACCTAGTCTGGTTCCAGACCATAGACCCCGCCCACTCAACTGAAGGTTCTGGGAGCTTCAGTCTGACACTCAGGCTAGTCTCAACCTATTTTACAACGCCCATATAGGACGGTGTCTGGGTCCAGACCATCAGTGACCACTGACCTAGGACATTAACTGGTACCACCCATGTTGGCTTGTTGGGGAGAGAGCAAAATAACGCTCCAAAAATAGGCTAAATAGTGGTGAGGGAATAACTGGCAGTGCCATTTTCAAAGGGGTCCCTTGAACCCTTGAAGACATGTGAATGAAAGTGGGTTCTAGGGTTATCCATGAGTCTCTCCTTAGCTTTTTTTTGTCTCTTACAATGAATGTACCCCTTTGAATTAAAGCTGTATATGTCTTTTTAAAGAAAAGGACAGCTAGCCTATTTGAAGAAGAATGAATCACCTAACATGCAAAGACACATTAAACAGGATTGTTGTGGAATTCAAAATGTTGACTGTAGCAGTATTAGTGATGTGACGTTCGCGAACGAGCCAAGCCTTTGAACTGGCTCTTTGAAGTGAATGAGTGAACCGGCTCTTTAGAGTGAACGAGCCAGTTCCGAATTTCTTTGTTTTTTGCTTTAATTTACTCTGTATCCATTAATTTCAGATTATTTGATCAGGAACAAGTTGAGAGAGACTAGTTTGTGAGGGAGAAAGACAGTGCAGCCGCTCACTCGTTCACTTCAAAGAGCCGGTTCAAAGACTCGGCTCATTCATGAACGTCACATCACTACTTGTTTATAAAGAGTGTTGCTATGGCTACACCAAACTTTATATCTGCGGAGTCTATTCTGGGTCCACGTTACAATATCCAGATCACGTGATGCGATAAATCAGCAATGCGATTAGTCGTTGAACCCACTAACACCCCCCCACACACACACACAACAAAAAAACAACAACAAAAAAAAAACCCCAAACGAACGAACCGCATCTTTGAACCAGCTCTTCAAAGTGAACGAGAGCCAAAGAACCGGCTCTCACAAGTGAACGAGAAATCCCATCAATAAGCAGTATTAGTCTATGCACATTAGATAATGAGTAATATTGACTATAAAATAAAAGACCAAAATATATTAGTATCCTTGACTCTCATACTGACAGTTTTCAGCTGGCCTATTTACTTACAGCATGATCAGATTCCTGAAGTTCACTAATGGCTTGCGGTTTTGATGTGCCACCCCAAGATTTTCAGTGCCCCCATCTGGCCACCCCTATGAAAACTTTCCCGGGATGCCACTGAGTCTTGTGTGATGTAACTTCTGAGCTGCACCACAGCAGGAAAGTTACACGTTCTGAATCAACTCCCTTTTGCAGAAGGATATAAATTATGGTCCCACAAAAGGAACGTGCGGGACTGAATTAGAATGTCATACATGTATGCATGCTATTTATACAAATGATGTGTATTTTCCCCTTTGTTTGCTTCAGCCACAAACCTGAATCACAATGCAGCCTGATTAAAATGTAATTAGGAGAGTATAATTGGAGGACATCTGTTATCTGTATAACCCACATTATTCAACAATACAAACAATGCAACACTCGCAGCAGATATGATTTTTGTTTTGTTCATTTACATCCACACTCATAACTGTGTAAATGTCCGGAGTGAATCAATGCATCGAAATGAGCTACCTGAGGGCATTAAAAAGCAGGGCATTAAAAAAACACAAGAATCTTAAGTAAACACACTGCGGCTTTCGAAACATGTAAAAGTGAACGCTGCTTTGTTAATCCCTCCAGGGGGAACATGTATCCCTTATTGAATGCTTGTGAAACATACAGATTCTGTGCTACTTTATATGCACTCTCTGATGGGTACAACAATCCCCAAAAGCTTTAAAAAAAGGTCCAAATTTTCATTCTGAAACGTGCCTCATGTCAGAAAAATCAGCAGGGATTTACAGGTAATAAGGCACCACGCATGAAGACAAAAACAAAAACATTTTTTTTTAAGTACAGAGGGGGGGAAAGAGAATAAATGACAAAAAATTACACATGGACATGGATAATCCCTGGTTAGCCAGACGAGCGAACACCGCATTTGTTTTCACAGCCATAATCAAGCCCGTTGTTTAAGATTTCAGGGGCTACGTGCCACATCAGGGGTGTTTATGAATTCTGAAAATGCCGCTGGAAAAACACTCACTGACACACAAACAAACAAAACCAATATTAGCTTTTTGTTCCAGGCAGCAAAGCAAAAACGGTATCACAATATGGTTTTTCGGGAGGGGAGAGGAGAAGAGATAGTGTCAGGAGGTAAAGATCCAGACTGTCTGGATGGCGTCAGTAGCAGAGGGATGATAATAGCATCTCCAGTCACAGTATATCCATCATGCCACTGCTGAATCCCCGGGGGGCTGTCTCATCAAAAAACAGGCGGGGGCCTCTTTCAGCCGTCACTTTTCAACACTTCATATGCGCTTGACCTCTTCCAAAAGATGCTAATGTGTGTGCACTTGAACCCCGGCCACTTGAACATACTTTAGTCAGGTGTGTAATGCTGCAGTGAGAGTTCCACTCTTTGTTTGCTGTGGAGATCTCTTAGTGTTACAATGGATTCTTAGAGAGAAAACGTGGAAAGACATGACTACTGTGGTGTAAAATTGGATCAACAATAAGTAAATATGACCTATATAGTGTATAGAGGGCTGAAAATAACCAAGCAGTCCTTATCTTTAAAGAAGCATTTCAGTACTGGAGAGATGGTCTTTGCATAAAACTAGGCTTTCTGTGCTGTGGGCAGATGCAAATACTTTTGAAACGGGTGCTACATGACCTGAGCAAACAGAGAAAAAGGGCTGTGGCATTCTCTTATGCTAAAGAGGAAGAAAACCTACAACTAACAGAATGCATTGTGCTGCACCGAGCCAAAAACATCTCCCTCTGGTGGGCAATCTGGAAATCCATCGGTAAAAACAAAAAAAAGGATTTTTTTTCTTCCTTTACCTCTGGAGGCACTGCCCCTAATTTTTCGACTAACGGAAGTGCAGGGGCCTCGGGGATTGCTCAACCCCTTCACTTCCGGCAGTGCCCCCAAGGAATCGCCTTGTTGTTTACAAATTCTTCCAGGTAGAAAACATTTTTCATGTCACTATATCACCGTTTAGACTAATCTGATGTTTGTAAAATCTATCAACACAATGGTTGAACAAACATTACTATCTCTGTGTACACGTTTTGTAATTAATAACATGGTTATCGTAGATTAGCTGGGCTAACCTTTAGCTGTTAGCCCTGTTAGCGGTGTCTGTAGTAACTCAGTAACTCAATAAACGGTCCATGAAAAAAATATTTTTTCCAGCGGATATCTTAGTTACAACATGATTGAGCTAGCAAAGCAGTTTTGTGTTGCTATGTGTGGTATTTATTCAGTTTTGGGAAATCATGATGTCTA